CGCGTGACACGCGACGTTTTCAGTCATCCATTGTTGACCTGATTGCTGCCATACGTTCAGCGCTGTTGCCTAATCGCATGAATGATTTTCATAACTGATAGTCGGCGTGCTGAACGAAGCCGCCTAGTCGAGGACGAAAAAACTCTCATAATATGGACACAAGCAGATTTAGCAAACTGCACAAACATGACCACTCTTTGATTAGCGTTTCTACCTTAGACTCGCTGTTCATTCGTCTATACTCCGCGCAAATTTAAAAGAAGCCGTAGATTGTTGACTTTTGCCACTTATAAATGAATGTAAACTTGAGTTTGAAACCACATGTGTCAATCAGTATAATTCTCTGATTTAATCGTACCGTAGTCCACTCGTCGCTTCGTTTAATATTTTGGTGATCGTCGTTGAACCTTTCGCACAAAGTTGCCTCCATGATATCGTTGGAACTTCTTCTGTTATGATGGTTACAAGTTCCTCAGCAGTGTGAAGTGTGTGAAGTGCGAAGACACGCTTCGTTGATCTGTATAAAGAATAAACGGTAATTACAGTAGAAAGTTTAGCGTTTTGATCATTGAACTATGTTCTGCCTGAGATGGATAGAAAAATTTTTGCATCAGTGACTGCGCTGCGAAAAGGTACTATCAGTTTCGGATATGCATGCTGATATTAAAAATTTATGACGCAAACAACAGCGATTCAATTGATTTTTTCCATGATGTTGCTGCTTAAGGTAGAGGCCATCTGCTGCCCATTGGGTGTCACCATTTATGCAGTGCTATGAATTACGGTATTACGCCGCAATCATTGTCACCGGCCATAAGGTCGCGTTGTACCCTCTGACAAGACAAAGGCCAACTTTGGCTTTAATTTCGTCGCGAAGTGATCATGTTCGTGACGATGCGTGACCACCGTACGAACGACATTGGCAGAGCAGTCGGTCTATTCGCCAATCTAGTAATAATTTACCTCTGCCCATTAAACGTTGATGCGACATCGATCGGTTGTGCAGCGGTGATCATGTGAGGACGCTTTCGTTACCCCTCCAAGGCGATTCTGCCTCGCTAGCCGCAGCAGCGTCTGCCGTTGTGACGAACCATAAAACAATCAGATCTCGCTGACTGCGGACAGCCAGTCCGTTTCATCGACAAACGTTCGGCGACTTCACCACGGAGCAGTGCGTCCGCAATTCTGATTATACATGAATAGCATTGCCAATTGCAGTTAAACACTCGTCTTTCAGTGACCGGTTCAAAATGCAACAACTGTTCGAAGCCCATCACGGACCAGTTCATTTTCAAGGTGCTCGATCGCGCCTACCATTCGCACTGTTTGTACTGTGTTGAGTGTAAGCAGGAACTAAAAACCAAGTGCTACGCTCGAGATAACTGCATTTACTGCAAGAAGGACTTCTACAAGTAAACGCTGCGGTAAGAAAACACAACCGACGTTCGCACTGTGTTTGTTGTAGGAAGTTTGGCACGAAATGTTCCGGTTGCAAAGAAGGCATCATACCGCAGAGCATTGTACGAAAAGCGCACGACCATGTGTTTCACTTGCAATGCTTCAAGTGCATCGTATGTGAGAGCGAACTGGCGACCGGTGACGAGTTTTACCTGATACCGGCCGATGGGCGCCTTGTATGCAAAGACGACTACGACAGCAGTAAAAACAGAGGTATGTCAGGTATCCCTGAACAGCGCCAACGAACAGTGCAGCAGGTACGCTACAGTAGACGTCAGTTTTATTGACATAACTCTCTCTACTCAAACATGATATTGCTGGTCTTCGGAGCCGCACTTGAGACCAGAATGCAGTGATCAGCAGTTGCATGCGATTGTCGCACTTTGTCAACTTCGTCTATCTGATGTTCTATTTAAACAGACATGGAATCCCCTAACAAACGACCTCGGACAACAATTTCCGCCAAGCAGCTGGAGACTCTGAAACACGCCTATCAAGCGTCACCAAAGCCGGCGAGGCATGTGCGGGAGCGTCTGGCGCTTGACACGGGTCTCGACATGAGGGTAGTGCAGGTAAGCAAACATTACTCTTTCTGCACACCAGTCCGTAAGTTCTTTAGGTCTGGTTCCAAAATCGTCGAGCCAAGGAAAAGAGGATGAAGAAGGACAGTGGCCGCAACAAGTGGAGTCTGTACTTGGCGAAAAGAAGCAAAGAGGCAAGCGTCGACACTGGAAGCAATGAGTCGTTTGACGTCTGTTCGTCTGACGACAATCGCAGCATGCCCGAATACGCAGGTGAGTAACGAAGTAACGGAGTAAAGGTGACTGACGTCCGTAAGGTGCACGCAAAGTACACACACTTCGAGCATGGCGATTGAAAACCAGGCAGAAATGAGCATTACTTCATTTCGAACATCATCCTGCTTTCACGAACCTTTCCTGGCATGCCAGCAAATGCTGACAATTTTCGTGACCACTGATGAAATTTTCATAATGAAAATCACATGATGTTCATTATTAAGTACCTGATAGATGCAGAACTCCAAAAATGACTCAGCTTGTGTTCTGACTGGCTGATACATGACTAACGAATGAAATTATACACATGATTCACATTCTAGCCAATCATCCTGCTCTGCAGCAATTGTGAATAATCGGCGATATCATTCATACATATTTTAAATTACTATCAAGGTATGAATGAGATGATCTTCTAGAAAAGCCATCCACTCTTTCGGTTTCAATTACATTAAACCAGCTTTTTCATATTGGAAATCGAAACAGGTATTTTTATAACCAAATGTAGAATGCAGACATGCCTTACCCTCTAAAGTTTGGCCAGCAACTTTGTCCTGGAATTCCTGAGGCAGTTGAACCGTAATTAAATGATAAATTGAGAAATTATACTTGCAGTTATATTCTGAATAATGCATTGTATCTCTGAATAGCAAGTAATCAAAATCACAATTTATTATCAGGTATATCATGTTCAATATGTACTGATTAAAGGGGCAACAAAAGTAGTT